GAATTTGGGGGAAATGTGTATAAAATGATTCCTAAGAAATCTAGAACATTAAGGTTAAGCAGAGAGAGATCCAGTCATTATACTTTGAAATACCAACATCTCACTGTGGTAAGACTTTAACATCAGTCTGTTGTTCCAGGTGTCCCATTTACCCGCGTGTTTGCTTTGGATCGGGACGACCCGAAGACCCCCAACGCTCATCTGAGCTACAGCCTGGTCAGCCAGATCCCCAACAAACACCACAGCCTCCTGTTCCAGATCAACCCCAACACTGGAGAGATCTCTACTACAGAAGAAGGTAATAATACAAATGCCTGTGCACGCATAAATAAACACACAGACACGAACCCAGATTTTGGCACGTAGAACTGTCTGTAGGAAAGTCTGTAATCTGTCCATCTCTGTCTGTAATCTGGCGATATAGTGCCGCTGTAAATCCAGATTACACAGCTCATTTTATGTGCTCAAGATTAACGCTGACTGGAGGCAGATTGCCTAAATGTGTCGCGTGATGTTGATCACAGATTACTTAGAGGCTGTGTAAGCATGTGAAGATGCCTGTGCGCTCTGAGAGAGTTTTATTACATTTCCCAGACAGCCTTGAGACAACAGAGATGTTGTTCTTCCATAGATCTATACGAAACCATGCTTGTAATGTGTGGAATCGTACTGAACAATATTTTTGTTCTTTAACAGGGGAAAACATGCTAAAGGCCAGAGAAGGCATCCAGTACGGCAGAGGAGAAGATCGGAGCATCGAGGCTCTGAAGACAAAGTTTGATGAATACTGTTCAGTGCAGGAGATCCCCTATGAACAAAACCCCTTCTTCACCTGTGTGGAGAGAGCAGGTTTGTATCCAGATGTAGAGCTGCAGCGATTCAATTGATAAATTAGTCAAAGTTAAGCAAAAAATTCCATCTTCACACGTGAAAAAAAGGGACTGGATCACACTGATTGCTTTGCCTTTAATAATGCAACAATACATTACTGTGTCTTCATCAGAGTCAAAATATACAAACACATGAGGCAAACACATAGTCAACCTAGAACAGGTGCACAGTTGTCATTGAATTTAAAATTTATTGGATCTATTGCCACATCACATGCACTGTAATCACATCAGAAACAGCAGAACACATAAAGAACACAGAAAGTACAATCACTGCATCCAACATCCTAACTGTGTTAAGAATATGAATCCAAAGTGCAATCTCTGCAGAGCTGTGAGTTGATAATGCCTCAACCTCTGAGAGAGGGTGAGATTTTTATTGACACTGCAGAGCCATGGTTAGCCTGTGCATAATGCAGAGCAATAGCATAATATGTGTTTTTGTGTGTGTGTGTTGCAGTTTTGTGTTCAGATCTGAACATCTTTAAAGCTCTTTTAGTTTGTGCAACATAAAACAGACCACAGGGACATTTCAGCATGCAGGCAACATGTGTGCTGCTGTAGTTTATGAAGGATTTCTTGGTGTATTTTTTTTACTAGTGCATTGAATGTATAAAGTATTTGGTGTTTGACAAGTTAGAACATTATTGCTACAGTGAGAAAAACCTGTAGTTGTATTAGACAGCCAACCAGAGACAGTATCAGGTGGTTTTTCTAGTGTCAGAATGAAACAGTCTGTCAAATAATCAGTAGATTCAATTCAATAATGAAAACGACTGTTAATTGCAGCCATAGACTAGGCAAGCAAAACAGAAATCTGACACAGGCCACAAATATAGAATGGTGAACAATTCAAGTAAAGAATGATTTGACAGTTTCTGTTTTTTTAAAAGAGAAACATATTAAGAATTTCACAAGGAAGTGTGAAGGAGAATAAGAAAAATATTCATCTACAAGGGATTTATCCTGCTGGCTCAGTTCTCTAACCTTTTGGCCACCACTGATTTATTAAATGTTGAGTTGAATTTCTATGATAGGATCAAGAATAAAAACCTTGAGTGTGCCCATGTGACTCAAAGTGTTATTTAATTAAATCTACTGAAATGTTTTTGTGATGTTCAACCCCCTAAACGTTTTATTTTTGTTGCTTGTACAATGGCTCTAATTGTAACCTTCATCTTCCTCTGTGGTGTCAGAAATGAGGAGGAGGAATGTGGACCCCCTGGATGACCCAGACTACACCCTAATCGTGCGCGTGCAGGACCTGGGAGGAGAGTCAGAGACCGCACTGAGTGGAAACACCAGAGTGCACATTGTTGTGCAACAAAACCTGTGGATCAATCCTGGACCGATAACTTTGAAAGAGCACTCACCGGCCAGTTACCCTCTGGTTATCGCAAAGGTGTGGTGTGTTGCACATGCCAGCTCTGCACAAATCTCACAAATGCAGACACCTTAAAGTACAAACACTCACTATACATACTCTACATCCAGTAATCCCACTCTGTGGCATCTTGCCTTCCTTTTTTTGATCCAGGTCCAGTCTAATGAACCCGACGCTGTTTACACGTTGGTGCAGAAAGAGCGAGAGCAGAAATTCCCCTTCCGAATCACAGAAGATGGACAAATACATCTGACAGAGGAGCTGGACAGAGAACACAAGGACATGGTACACAACACATGCTTAGTTTGCTCAACAAATGTCTCTTATGTCATGTAGAAATAACAGCTTACTTGTATTGGTTCTGTTTCAGTACATCCTGGTGGTGTTGGCGAGGGATAACAGTGGCAAAGAGGTGGATCCACCCATGGAGATTCAAGTCTTGGTGGAGGATGTGAATGACAACAGACCAATGTGTGAAAATGAGGAGAGTGTATTTGAGGTGCAGGAGAATGAGCCTGTAGGTAAGATGTGTGTGTGTTTATTACATAACCCCTTCATGGTGCAGCATGTGCATGTTAGGAGCAAAAACAGGATGGGAGGAGTGCTCAGATCTTTTACTTGAGTAAAAATAGCAATACCACAGTATCGAAATAAAAGTCCTGCATTCAGACTTTTACTTTAGTAAGAGTACAAAAATAATAGCATCAAAATATATAAAGTAGCAAAAGGAAAAGTACTTATCATGCAGAATGCCCCATTTTAGATTAATATATAATATATTATTGTTTTAGAACTATGAATGCATTAATGTGTAAGCATTACTTTAATGTTGCAGCTGGTATAAAGGTGTGGCTAATTGTAACTACTTAATATACTGCTGGGTAGCTTCATCTATAATAATCAAAAATGATTAGTTGATTGAATGATGTAAGTAGCAAATATACTTTCCACCACTGTAAGTGATTACATCTAATCAAAGTTAAGTGTAAGAGAAAACTTTAAGAGCAAGTGATCACATGGTTAAACACATGTGTACTCAGAAATAAACCCTTCATCTGCCCCATTGTTCATTTCTTTCTTTTCAAAATGATATCCTGAAAAACATGTCATTTTAATTTGGGTTGAATCTCCAAGGGCAATAAACATTTGAAATGAACAACAAATTAAACTAAATCTATAACAAAAAATATGGAATAAATAATAGGAAATTGAAATTGAATTGGCTGAAATTGAAACTAAACTCAATTGCAGTTGGAAAGAAATTCAGACAAACAACAAAATCTGTCCCAGCTTTATTCTTGTTGTTTGCACCCATGATAAATGCAAGAAATATTCAAATCCAAAGCAAATAATAGACTAAACATATCTTATTTTGAATTATACATATCGATTATTGACCCCTAGAACATGTCTCAAAAAGTGAGTAATCCCCTGTGATTCTGCACTGCAGTCTTTAACGGTAGGATTTAAGACTGGAGCCCTTCAGGAGAATATTTTTAAATCCTAAGAAAATTGATAAATTGCTTTTATTCTTACGTTCTGGCTCTTGTGGTTCCAGGCAGCCTGGTAGGACAGCTGTTGGCCCATGACAAGGATGAAGAGGGAACACTGAATGCCCAGCTGACTTACGCCATCGAGTCCCAGGATGATTCAACACCCACCACCTTCTCCATTGATGCTGCCACTGGAAGAATTCAAGCATTGCGCATGCTGCAGCGAAAAGAACAGCAGATTTATAGTTTCAATGTCAGAGTCAGCGACCCAGGTAACACACACGCTGTATGATGTAACACACCTGTAAATAGAGGTCAGTCAGTTTTCACTCCAAGTCCACTCATGGCTTTTCGTCTCATAGCTTTCAGCACAGACTGTAAGGTCGTCATCAAGGTCATCGACGTCAACAATGAGATGCCTCTGTTCGAGAAGGAGGATGTAAGTATGTGATGATGTATCTGTCTCTTATTTCTCACACTGTTGTGGCTGATTTTCTTCACGTTTCTGTGTGTGTCTGTGTGCAGTATGGCAATTACACTCTAGAAGAGGACACACCTATAGGACACACAGTGCTGACCATCAGGGCGTCAGACGCTGATGACCCAGACAGCGGCAGCTCCTTTATCGAGTTCCACATCACTGCTGGCAACGACGATGACCTTTTTGCTGTGGAAACCGACGGCAAAGGCGTCGGCCAAGTGGTCATAGCTAGGGTACGGTACCTCCATTGAGATGTAGAGACGTCTCCCACACAAACACACACAGTTATTTCATACAATTATGATCTTTAACTATGTTTGCATTTAAGGTCCAGTAAATGTTACAGTAAAAGGTTCACAATTAACCTATCATTTGTATTTCTGTAATACACTTTTGTTTCAGCAAATGTTTCACACTTTTGCTTTATAACTGACTGAAACAATTGATTATCTAAAAAGTTGGCAATATCACACAAACATTAGAAAATATATTACTTCATATATTTCTTTATTAAGTTTAGTCAGCTCTTCAGCTCTAGTTACTGTTACCAAGAGTGTAAGCTAATTCTATAGTTGCTGCATCTGACTAATTGTCTAGGTATCGTGACTTTAAATGTAAAATGCCTTTAATAAGTACAAAGCTAACAGCTGTGACAGACTCACAGCTGTATAGTGACCTTCAAAGGCCTCGGCCTTGACCTTCAACACATTCTTGCTTTTCCTAACCTTCAGCTTGCTTGTCTCCTAACAGCCTCTGGACTTTGAGTTGTCCCCCACCTACAGGCTCCAGATTGATGCTCGTAACCCAGAGCCGCTGATGAAGGATCTGGAGTACGGTAGCGAATCCACAACCTTCGTCTCTGTGTCTGTCACTGACATAGACGAGGCTCCAGAGTTTAGTATGGATATCCTGTATGTGACTGTGCCTGAAAACACCACCAAGGGCTCAGTGCTGCTCACTGTGGAGGCAAAGGATCCAGAGGGCAAAGAGATCGGGTAAATACACACAAATAACCACTCTGTGCTTCAGAACTGCTTAAAGTACAGTGGGTGGACACTGGATTTGACTTTGTAAAATCCAAAACTATGATGGAGATTCTTTAGTTTATGTTGAACTGCTGAAAAAAGAACAACTGCTATTGTAAATAATTAAATAATATTAGAGCAAGACCGACATATTCCGATCAGATGAACTCGGGTTCATCAGCATATTGCTCCAGAAGTTTTCATTTCAGCTGTTAAGTAACACCACAAAAGGTGGATATTGTTGTAATAATTGTTCAATTAAATTGTCAAGGATGCTTTAGTTCAGTTTACATTCTTATTATTCATTACTGAGAACTGAGAACATTTCCACCTTCTCTCTTATGCATACAAACCTGTTCAGTTACTACCACAGACTTTATCATCTTTAATAATCTCTTATATAATCTTCCCTAAAGAAAGATTATAAGCCCTTTTTATAATGTTCCACTAGATCAGCACTGGCTTTGTTTTTAATGTAACTGCTCCCTACTGGCTGCTAGTTTGGGGTTAGGACTAGGTATCACGTGTACACAAAAACAAACTATTGATTTGTCTTGACTACCATTATTTCCCCTGGGCCCTTATTCAGTGTGCTGTGTAGCATGGGTGATTTCTAATATCTGCTTCCTATGTGTGTGCGTGTCTTTGTGTGCAATTTCTACAGTTTTAAGTTGGATGGTGACACTCAGGGCTGGCTGGAGATCGATGCTGCCACAGGAGAGATCAAGACCAAAGACAAGCTGGACAGAGAAACCTTGGAGAGTTTCAAAGTCACTGTCACTGCATTTGAGAAGGGTAAGATAATCATATAAATCAGACTCATATCCCTGCCTAACAGAGGGGTTTTGTTTAGTTGATCAGTTGTTATAACACCGGTTAAATTCGTTCTAGCTCAATACACTTTGGTTAGAGGCATTATGTGTTCGGGTTCCATTCTTGTGAATGCGATACCTCAGGAACGCCGCGAAGGAATTTTTTTAGATTGGGCGCCAAAGTTCACTTGGACTTAAGAAAAAATGGATTAGAATCTGGTGCTCAAAGGTCATAACTCAAGAATTGATTCAGTAATTATGATAAAATTTCACACAGATATTTAATGGGATACAACAATTAGGTTTTATCCAAAAGGTCAACTTCCCTGTGACATCATAATGTTAACTTAACTGGTTGGCGGAGGCATACCACCACATCCAACTGCATTCAACCATGCGGATGCATACAACTCGATTATGCGGGGAATGTAATCGAGTTGTGCTGTATAAGTAAAAAGTAAAAGCAATGTTGCAAATGTTGTTTTTTTGTTTATGTTATGAAACTTAAATGTATGTTTTCCTGCTCTCTGATTTCCTTCTGAAGAGAACCCAGAAAAGTCTTCCGAGCGTGTCGTGTCTGTGCAGCTGCTGGATGTGAACGACAACGTCCCCAAACTGGTAGAGACCCAGGCCTTCATCTGTGTGCAGAAACCCGTCCCTGTCGTCATCAAGGCCACAGATGGAGACAGTCACCCCTTCTCCGAGCCCTTCACCTTTACTTTGGGTAGCGGCAAGAAATCTCCTAACTGGGAACTGCTCAATGTCGACGGTATGCTAAAACAATGAACTGTTAAGGTGATATATATCAGAAGATGGTGTACAACTCAAAGAGTCAGATCATTATATTCTTCTTGTTTCCTGCAGGTACGACGGCAAAACTGACTCTGAAGAAAAAATCAAGCGAAGATAAAACCTTCATACTCCCCATTAACATTAAAGACAATGCAGGCATGGGAGTCACACATCCGTTTGAGGGTGAGTTTATTCTTTATGTTCAACTTAGAGGGTGCGTCTGGCAAGCAATACCATGAAAAGACAAAAACACAGGAATGAACTGATCCTAACATGTATTGTCTGTGCAGCCAAAGAATGATTCCCATTGTTCACATTAAAAAAACACACTAATGAGCCACACTGTTACAATGCCTGACATGTTCCCTCATTACCATGAACACAGGCTCTGTAATTAGTTTTGTTAAGAGATTGGTTGTTGATGATGGACAAACCCATTGTTGGTTTTTATGGGATTTTGTTGACATTTTACTGCAAACCCATTGTTGGTTTTTATGGGATTTTGTTGACATTTTACTGCATCACATCTCTGATAAAGGTTTAATGCACGTGTTCTTCTCTCTACCTTCTATACCAGTGAGAGTATGTAACTGCACAGAGCTCGGCTACTGCTACATGGCACCAGATCCGCGTTCCCTCAGTTATGGAGTTGGACCCACAATCGGGATCCTGGCTGGCACTGTGGGATTCTGCCGTAAGTCTAACAAACCACATATGAAAGCACATGAAGCAGTGTCCGTTATACTGTTCAGCCTGAAGTTATTATTATCTAGTTATATGTCGCTGGTGCTGACTCCATTTTGTACGCTGCTGTAATTGACTTAATTTTTATTGTCTTTTTGCAGTTATTGTCTTCATCATTGTGATCAAGCGTACAAAAAAAGGGGGTAAGAAGAAAACCTTGACTGAAGAGGACGAGAGGAACGCCATGATGTAGAGACTACACACACACATATTTGTACTTTTACACTCGTGAGGACGCTCACTGATAATAATACATTCCTTAATGCCTCGCCATCACATCTACATACCTAACCTGAACCCTCATTCTGTTTTGATGTTTCCTTTTTAACATCTGTGTGGGGACAGCAGATGAAAAATACACTTCTAGGCGAACTGTGGCTCATTTTATTTAGTTCTTTTTTTCTGTTGATCCAGAAGCATTTTCCATGGCAAATAAATATTAATAAATAATCAAATAAATGAACAGCAGATGTGAGGACTGAACTTTTCCAGTAATGTCCTCTCTCTCAAGGTCTAAAAGTTTAATTATAAATCACAAAGGTAGATGTACACACACACACAGATTTACTTTAGCTTTTTTTATATATATTTACAAGAGAGTTTAGCTTGATTAATAAGTGCAGTGCATACTTAATTAAACTGTCAGGTGGCCCCATGCTAATCATGCATTTATAAAGCTTGTTAACGTAATTTATTTAAATTTCACTCCCAGACTCAGGTTGTTTCATTAGCAATTTCATCAACTCACATAATTCAATTTGGGGATTTTGGGACTAGAGCTTGTTTTGCTATTATCTTCTGCTTGAATGTAAAGGCTGACTGTTGAATGCTGTGCGACAGCTGGGAATATCTTTGATATTAAGAAACATCTTAGAATGAACTATTGTAAGAGTGTTGTCTTTGTAATGAACAACAATTGCTGTGTTTTGTAATAAGCAATTACTACTCTGTGTCCCAATAAAGAAAGAAACTGGGAACAACTTTAGTTTTCATATCATCATTGTGTGTGTCTGACTATGTGGGTGTGCGTGTACATGTCAGGGCAGACGCGTGGTTTGCGCGGTGCTCGGTGACAAAAGACGTGCATCCTCACCTCAGCTCGATACTTCCTTGCCACTCTTTCTTTTTTTAAGGAGGCCTTCTGTTCTTCACATTTCTGACCAACATTTACTCTACGCTTGCTTGTCAATACTTTTGCATCCTTCCTTTTCTCCCCCTCACTGTCAGTCTGTCGTTGAGCAGTCAAGACCACGGTGATGTTCTGAGTCATAGACAGTGGGATTCAAGCTGCAGATTGTTTGCAGTGCTGAAAGAAGGATGGGATGATTGTGGGCTTTTATGCAGCACAAAGAAGCCGCAACACAACAACAAGGAAAAACACACACACTCAGACACATGTGAGAGTTGAATGTGGGTGCCACATGTGCTCCCATGGCCATTCATCCCCTCCCTCAGTCCATGTGCCATGTTTGTAAGAACTGTGTGTGTTAGAGATGAGTCATTTAACGGCCTGCTGCAGCTTTCAAAAGCCAAACTGAGAGCAGTGTCAGAGGCAGAGGAGTGGACTGAGCTATAGCCTCCTAACGACAAACTCAACGTGGAGCCTCTCCAGTGTTTATGTCTGCACCCTCTCCTCAGCGGTATCCCAGGCAACACTTTCCACAACAACACACACGCAGAGAGTCATGGAGAGCTGGTGGGGGAAGCTGACAGGTTGAGGGACAGAAGAGAAGAGGTGGAGGAAAGACAGAGAGAGTAAACCGTAGTGTGTGGATGACCCGACCACCTCTGGATATCAAACGTCACCATCACCACGTAGAAACACACACGGATGTTTTTGTCAAAATGATCAACAGTCGAGGGGTGAGATTCAGGGTAAGTGACATCTGACCAACTTTACAGTAAAAGCCAAAACACAAAATGGCTATACTTCTTCCTGACTGTGTTTATTCAGTTCAGTCTTTAATATTAAAACTTCATAAACATGTTAAAGACGATAGATGTAGTGAACAATATTATGACTATAAAAAGATATTTTTCTGTCCTTTAAGTGCACTTACACCCAAATAGTTCAGGATTCAGTGTACTGTCTTTTGATACTGGATTAATAATTAATAATAGTAGAATTCACGTGTGCCTCTTTGCCAGCAGAAAGAGCTCATCAAGAGTTTCATTTGTTAATATAATGATCATTTAGCAAGAGTGGTCAATAGGCCCCTCTTGTTCTCACCCCTCACTATGATCAGTTGATGACACCAGCTTGTACTGAATATTTGAAGGCTGAATCAGAAAGCCCAAAACAACAGGATTTATTTTTGTTATTCACTATATACATTCCTACCTTACAGTTTGCCAGTAAATACAAAATAAAAAGCAGGTATAATATACATGGTGATTCTTTAGCTGTTTTCAACCTCTGGAGTGTCCTTTTGTTTCCCCCTTTGTTTTTCAACCTGGGTTCACATCCAACTTCTGGCCCTTTGCTTGTCATCCCCTCTCTGCCCCCCTCTCCTGTCCATCTTAAGCTCTCCTGTCAAATAAAGGCAAAAGTTTGAAGGCAAAAATATCCTAGCATTTATGAACATAAGGAAAAGGTCAGTCCTATTATAGTCGACAGTGATGCAGCGTCAGGGGAGGAAGAACGGAAAAGGAAAAATCGTATTCATAATTTAGGAAAAAAAAGGAAAATGAATTTCACACCTTATAACCCAAACATTTTGCAGTGTATTTTTTCTTTTATCATGATATTTTAAAGTGTTTCACCAATGTATATGTGTCTCTTGAAAATAACATCCATTTTAAATTTAAATCATTAGATGTCCCTTAGGTATTACCGGCCCTTTTCCTGATTAGTTTTCTTTTGATCAGTGAAAGTTCCCTTGTATTTATTACCAACATTTTGTACATCTGCGTGTTATTTTTTTCAAAGATACAGCTACTCTGCTTTAACAATTCATTAAATGTGTCACTTTTAAAATGTGATTCAGTGTTCTCTAAATATTGGACGCCTGACAAGTTGTGACTGCTTCTAGTGGTGGATAACTTTAGATAAATTAGGTGTTAAGCCCCCCTCTGTTCTAATACTGTTTATGTGGGATGATTTTTATAACACGTCCTGCGTCTTCATCCCACGAAATACCATAAGCAAATGTCACTCAGTCTGCTTTTACAAACTAGTCCAGGAAAATCATCAGCGGAAATGAGGCATGTAGCTGACCAAAATGTTATGTAGAGAAGGTTATTTCCTGTAAACTGACTGAATGTCGCCAATAAACCAAATATTCCTGTTGTTATGGATGCATACAGTACGTCAAAAAGAGATGTTGACGTAAAACCTTCTCTCTGTGACCCTTATACATCAAAAGAGGTAACAAAGAGTGACTGAGGTAAAGAAAAAAGAGCCCTTTATTACAAATAATGCGACCCCAGGAAATGTTTATAGAGAATATTTTTTTTAATTATTTTTTTCAAATAAAGGTAGAATATTATTAACAATCGTATCTGCCCCACAATACTGTTAATAACTTTTCTTATGAAAGTTATACACAGTTTATTATATGACACCCATGAAACTAATGCAGTGTAATACAACAGTTCTTCAATAAATTCTACCTTCATTAAGGTTATAATGTGTTTAGTTTTTGTTGTGTAAGAAAGGTGTTGATACAACTGCAGTTTGTGGTTCTGTTGAATTGTATTGTGTTTTACTGACAGCTGTTTCTATTATTTTGTCCACCCCATTTATAACAGTGAGCGTAGGCTAACCAGCATTTAGTTTTTAACCAATTATAGGTTAAAAGAAAAGTACAAAACTTAATACTCACATGTCATTTTAATTATCTAACTAACAATATTATTTACTGATGTATTCAGGTACATTTTGTTACATAATACAACCATTACACAAAAAGTCCAGCTGATGACAGTATCTCCTCAGTTAAACCTCCACTATTAGACTCTTGGGCCTGTGTTGATACTGCAGCACCATCTAGTGGCGGTTAACTGACTGTCTCAGGAAAATAACATTTGTGTCAGTGGTAAAGGAAGTACTCAGATTCTTTACTTAAGTAAACGTAGTGTTACCACAGTGGTAAAATACTTATATTCACTTACTGTTACTGAGGTAAAGGTGTGTAAGAATTACAAAGTATCAAAAGTAACAGTAATCAATGCAGACAAGTGTCCTCTGTGAGTATTATACTGTTATATATCATATCATTAGATTGTTAATATTGATGCATCAATATGTAAGCAGCATTATACTGCTGTAGTTGGTTGAGTGGAGCTTCTTCCTGGAGCCAACATCTATTCAGTTTACTGTAATTTAAGACAAATAATAACAGCAAACTGCTTCATTTGAGATGTTGAAACTATGATATGTTTGGCATTTTTGCATGAAAAATTATTCTTCATTAAGCAGTTGTTAAAACAATCCATTAATGACTAATTAACTAGTTGTTTAAAGTAAAATAGTACATATAGTTAGTGATGTGCATCACATTTTAAAAAACTCTTGATATATTTTCTATGTAGATATCAGATAAAAAAAAAGTAATTAACTAATTCTGTGGGGTAAAAAGTAAAATGTCCCTTCCTATAAAGTAGAAGAACATGAAAATAAAGTATCAGTACCTCAAATTTTTACTCTGTAGTACATGTCTGCAGTTGAAGTGACCATTACACTGTAACCTGAGACTCTTCAGGTGGTTAAAGGTTAGCGGGACGTCCTGCTGCTTTCTGTGGTGTTGAAGTGTGTTCACTGCTGGCCAGCCTGTGTCAACCACAACACACAACAACAGTATGAAATGGTGTGTATTCAGTGTTTTATTAAACCATTCCATATACAAAACTTAACCCACATAAGTTACAATTTATACATACGATTGTAGATAAAGACATGTAACATACTGCTAAAGCTGAATAAATAATATTTAATATTAAACAGCTTCTTTGTTTCCAAATGTACATTCTGTTCATTCATCTGGGCTTAAATACACTTGAACACACAGCTTCGACCCCGTCATTAGTGTTTAACTGGAGAGTATCAAGAGAGTGTCTGTCATGAAAAATAAAATCCCAAACTGTAACAAAAATGTTACCCACACTGCTGTTGACCAATCAGAAAACAAACAAACAAACATAAGGCTTTTTAAACACGTGTCCCTTTTAACCCCACAAAGTTTGGAAAAGAACTACAAACTTTTATTTTACTCCAACTACTTCACAGCAGTAGCCAACAATATTGTGGAGGAGTTTGTCTGCTTAGAGTTTCACTTAACAGACATCATTCCTTCAGAAAAAAATAAAGTACAAAAAGCCAGGTATGTATCAGTCTACCTGTAGTGGTGCACAGTGCAAGTCTTCCAAGAGTTAATGGCTTGTTAGACTGTGCAGTCTGTAACCTATTAGATTTCAATCACTACCTCAGTGCTTCCCAAAGTTTTTGGCTTGTGACCCTTTAAAATAAAGAATTGTCTCAATTGATTATTCAAATTATTTCATTTAAGGACTGAAGGTTACAATATCCAGTATTAGATAAGTCAGAGAAAACAGAGTGTGTAACATAATTGTGTAACTATAATTACTATAATGTTGTGACCCCTGAGATTTATCTTGGGACTCACACAGGATGGGAACTATTAGACTATGAGTTTAAACTCTCAACTTTAATTTGAGAGTATTTACATCCACAGCAGATGCACCATGTAGCCCCAGTGTTCACTCAATATGAATGTAAACACTTTAAAGCTCAAAGTCAGCTCTTAAAGGTCCAGTGTGTAACACTGAGGATGATCTATAGGCAGAAATACAATATAATACTCATAGTTATGTTTTCATGAGAGTATAATCACCTGAAAATAAGAATTGTTTTGTTTTTAATCTACAGAGGGAGCAGGTCCTCTTCTACGGAGTACGCCATGTTTCTACAGTAGCTCAGAACAGTCAATCCAAACACTGGCTCTAGATAGGGCGGTGACATTATTTGCGAGTTTTCCGGCCACCGTAGTTTCTCCTTCGTGCTTGGAAAGGGGAGGGTGAAGCGAGGGAGTTGCAATGTGCAACTACACCGCTAGATGCCACTAAATCCTACACACTGCACCTTTAAACTCAATGCTGGAGTAAGCGTCATCCAAATACTGTTAGACTGCAGTGGAAATGCAGAACAAAATGTGTATGTTCAGAAAGTACTAAGAATATCTCATACAATGACATTTGCAGTGTAAATAAAACCAAAAAAATACCAGATGCAACAGTCCTCTATTGTAACATCAGCCTCACAGATGCAAATAACAAAACCAGACAGCAGAGAGTGTGGTGTTATAATGGCACAGCCCAGTTAGAGTCCATTTCAAACAAGTCAATGCTGCATCAACAAAGACTTCTTTACTAAAGTCCAACCTTCAACCTCTTTGGAATTTCTATCATTTCAACCCTGCTGAGTCTTCCAGCAGGCGAGGAGGTTGAATGTTTTGGCACGAAAATCAGTTTGTAACAGCGTCTTAGCCACGCAGAGAAGAGTGTATGAAACGGTTGACAGAGGATATTGGCAGCATAAATAAGGTTGTAAATAATGTTAACAGACAGTCCAGTTTTTAACTGAGATCTTCTCACTTCATACGGAACTGGATCTTCTCGAGCACTGCATACAAACTTACAAATTCTTTACATAAATAGAGTTAAAACAATTCATTCAGACTGCTGGACAGATATTTTCCTAATATGGCCTGTTTGTCCACAGTGTGCTTGTGTGCAGATCTTCAGTACGCAGTTACACACGTTTGGGTGTGTGTGTACTCCTCTTTATAACACCAGCTCAGGACTGCCCGTCCTGTCTCTGTGCTCCAATCACATGAGGGTTGAACTGAGAGATTATGATGGTGATGTCATCGCGGTACATGCGAGCCAGCTCCTCGGGCAGCGACAGCATTTTCGACAGCCTCTCGTGGTCAACCGTGCCAAACTCGTTGTTTCCCACCGCGTGCCGCATCAGGTGGGTCGCCGAGTTCTGATCCTCGAAAGCTGAGGACACGCGAGCCTTTCTCTCTTCGAGCAGCCCCTGCATCTGTCCCAGGGTGACCTTGTAGCCTCCGACTTTGAGGGGCTGACGCTGGTGCACCCCCGTTAAATATTCCCCCACAATACGAACTACTTCCTGTCTGTGGAGAGTCTCCCAGAGGCCGTCAGAGCCAATCACCTACACGGACAGACAGAGGAGAGTTGGGGTCAGAAAACACATGGTTGTAACATCAGATAAGCCTGACTCACATAATTACTGAGAAAATGAGGTTCATTACAAAACAGATAATCTTTCTTCACAAACAAAACCTTTGTCTGCAGATTTAGCCATACAACAAGCAATCATGAGCCTAGATGCAAGATAATTCCTTTTAAAAAAAGACAGCTCTGTTTTTTTGTCATTTTGTTTTGAAAAACACAGCTCACTCATTTTTGGAGTACAAAAAGATCCAAATGGGTGCAGCTCTTTTTTTTTTAGGAAACCATCTCGGATGAGCATAATTGTACAAACACCAGAATGAGGTGAGAAACCAGATCCACAATGTGTCTTAATGTCATTCTAGCGTTTTTGTAGAGGGTAGTAATTTCCTAGCCTGGTTCCAGACTTCTTAATGACAGCATCTCCATTCATTCAGCAGTTCAAACAGGTCGGGAGTTGCACCCACTGACGGTTGTTAACAGCTCTTGGGTAAACCGTTAAACAATTAAGAATGTGGATGTCATCTTCCTACATAGCTAGCTACATCTATGAAGAATTGTGACAGAAAAATGGCGACAAACTTGAATGAGATCCAAGAAGCTGTACGACCTGTCAGAAGTGGACTTGACAACTTTCAATGTGGTATATACGTTTGAAACTTTGTATTTTGGGAGAGGATTTGTAGGTGATGAAAATGTGCCTCCTCTCTCACCATGAAGCGATCCTGTGGCCGCAGTCTGTGGTACGTGATCTCAGGCTCAGCGGTCAGGTAAGGGGGTGTGTGGTAGTTTGGAGGGATAAACTTGGTGTGCTCGTTTTCGTGGAGCTGATCAGGTCCAGACTCCAACACACCCTTCTGCAGTTCAATGCTCCACTTGAACTTCACATCCCCAAATGCCCGAAATGGCATGAGGAGGCCAAGCAACCGGTCCTGATAAAGGAGACGACAGAAAGAGGGGAAGAGGATTTAATAAATGCTGTAACAACAACAACCACCAAAAAAGCTAATTAGTAGGTGTAGTACCTGTCGTATAACTGTCTTCCTCTCAGATGGAGGGTGTTCACCCCGTATCCGAGCCATCTCTTCCTCATTCTGGGCGCTGTGGTCATTAGAGAGTGTGTGAGCGCTGAAGGAGCCGTCCTCCTCCTGCACCCCCAACACTGCCCGAGCATCTCCTGCGTTGGCTATAAACCTTTAGGAACAGAGAGGGAGAAGAAGCAAGGCTGAAAAAAGGCTGCTAAAGATAGATAAAGTTATGCAACACTTGGATACATTGACAAGAATGTGTGTGCGTGTATTTTTTCTCCGTACAGGTCTGATCCATCGATGTGAGCCACGCAGGCCGTTGCTCCAGAAAAGGCCACTCTCAGAACCCAGTAGTGCAGGAAAGCATTCGGGTCTCCAACCTAAATGGCAAAATAACACCGTGAGCCTCCAGACAGGATATGGTTCATGGTTTAAATTACAGGGAGAGGCGAGGACACCTGAGCTCCTCTTAAATCTATAAAAGTAAATTTGGATGCTCACAATCTTTTTGTACTGCTGCCATGGGCCAAAGGCGATATTCAATCTAATATGTGAAATGGCACTCAAGTCCTGCACTCAGACAAAATTTAAAGACTTGCAATTTGATTCAGACTTCAGTGACTGAGACTCTGATGCAAGGCAACATATTTTTTAAGTCTTATCATGAACTTGTGCCCGATCATCTAGTTGTTAACAATGAAGGCTTACAAAAAATATGTACATGGAAATTCAAGATAAAGAGGAGAGGAAATTCAGCCTCAAAGCTTTGACTTCAGTTATTCAAACTTAACTAAATATCATGCAAATTGAGTTACAGATACTCAGACTTTAAAGGTTCAGGTTCATTTAGGAGGATCTATTGGCAAAAATGGAATATAATATGAATTACTGTTTTCTTTAGTGTATAGTCACCAAATAGAAATTATTGAATTTGTTACTTTAGAATGATCCTTTTATACCTACAGATACAGTGCATTATCTAAGAGACTATGAAAAAAAAAACTTGCTGAATAAAACCCAGAATAAACCCTCAAATCTGCAAACATGTACTGGTGTAAGAAGTCCTGTTAGGGATTTACAAAGCAAAGTTAAAGAGGAACTCAGATATTTACGGGACTGAGGGAAAACATGCGAGTTCCTCATTAACACAAGATGGCTTTAGTAGGACCACCAGCACTGTTTCACATTAAGACAGCAGACTGTTCCTACCTGAGCTTCCAAGGAAATGTCATTGTCCAGCCTCTTGAAGGCATTCATCAACGCTTCACGGGTATCTGGAACTTCGCCCGGGCTGAAAACAGAGACAGAGCAATATGTGTGCTGCAGATAAGAGAGGAAGGCAGAGGTCGAGAACAGAAACAGGCAACAGTAATATTGGCAAAACAACAGATGGGCCAGTGTTGGTGTGGGCATGTTGCTACAAGATACAGATGAAGATAAAATAAGAAACTAGGAAGTCCAGTTTGAAATGTTAACAAAAGCAGAGAACCTGAACAACAATTGATACCCTTTTGAAACTGGACTGTACAGCTCAAGAATGGTTTTAAGTATTCGGTAGAAATATTTTGGTGTATCCTCTGCCGTGTTTCTCTGTCCTCACCTGGTGAGATCTATTAGCTCCTGCCAGTAGGTTCGGAGGCTGTTGAAGTAGAGAGTCTGAGCCTCCCTGGTGAAGTAGTCGTTGGGGTGTTTGTGCCACTGCAGGATGGGACTGAGGGCCCTGCCAGCCTCCACTGCTGCCTCCAGCTCGCACAGTGTGTCGTGGGGCAGCAGAGACACCGCTATGTAGTAAAACAACCTCTCACTCAGAGCCTGGCAGAGAGCAGGAGAGTTAGAAACTTAAACAATTCCCAGGAGAAAACAATGTCAATGAAACAGGATACAGAATAAAACCAGATCTTCCACTTGCATTACACGTTTAAAATGTTCCTATATTAACTAGATACATATTGTCTTCTTTTACACTGTGCATCATGTATGCCTGCTTGCTGTTTGTTATATGTGATAACAGAGTTAGGATTACCTGTGCACATGCACATCCAGCATGACCATCAAACACACCCAGCAGCATTCCTCGTGTCTGCAGGCATGTGGCGGCACTTCGACGGTCTTCTATAGGAGCGTTGGCTGGCAGCTGATTACTCTCAAAACCCATCACGGATGACACATTCTTCCCATCGAACTCCGGCACCTAGAAACCCCAACACGTAGAAATGGTAAGATGAAAACATAAATACAGAGATGGTAAATACAAAAGAAGTGTTTTCTGTGTGCATGAATGAACCCCACAAACCTTGAAGCTGTACTCGTTGGCTTTCAGAATAGAGTTGACCTGCGGGGGGGTGAGGATGTAGCTGCGAAACACTGAGGTCGTTTGGTAACTTCTCGAGTGCTGGTGGCTCTGCCATACGCGAGAGGGCCGTCTTGAGGCAGGTCGCTGAGTGATGGGTCCTAGCTGGGACTGGTGTTGTTGGCATGGTAACAGACTGGAGGCCAAGGCCTTTGTACGGGGAAAACCCCTGAGCAGCTGAGATGTCACAGGCATGGCTGAAGGCGCACTGCAGACACATACACAAACAGACAAACAGATATTCAATGCAGAGCTCAGAGGCTTTTATCAAGATGGAGTCATCTACAGCAGTGGTTCTCAAAGTTCTTCTGTTGTGCCCCCACTCAGAAGCCCAAAGTAGTTCACGCCCCCCAGTGATCGTGGGGCTATTTTTTTGCATAAATCCTATTCTTTTAACTTAGTATCACTGCATGTTTGTCCCACCTGCAGTGAGAAACACTGATCTACAGACAACAGAGTTTTCTCTTTATGCACCATTAATCAAAGAGTCAGATCAGAGAGATGTTATGAGAGGAGGTTCAGAAGGTAGGACAGGTTGGCAGCAGGGCCTTAAATGAATAAAGGACTTGGTGTCTAAATAGCCCAACAATACCAACCCACCATACAAGAGAGTAACATTTGAAACCGTAACATTTTCATATTTATTTACTGCCCAATCTTTGGTATTTGCCCTTTTACACCTTTAAAATCCTGCTGGCCACTGCTCACATCTTTTTCCTGTGACCAATTTTGATCAAATCAGATCAATGGTTTAAACAGGTTGTTGATTAACTGCCTATTGTTCTGGAGAACTCTGGAGAAACCTAAACTTCTGGAAACAGACATCCCCTTTTATTTCCTTCCTGGAAAGTTATTGAGCCATTAAACATTAAACACAACTGAATGTTATTCCTGTGTGGTGAACCACAGTGTGTATATATATATATGAGGTTATCTACCTGGAAATTTAAGAGTAAGACAAAAACGTTTTTAAAAATGTGACAGAGAATGAGTGACAACAATGGAATAACGTTGGCCAGTAAAATGCTGGCAGGTAGAAAACAACAGATGGGAGTGAGGAGAAAGGAAAAGGAGATTAGGGATGGAGAGCACAGTGGTAACGGTGGTGTATGTGTGTGGAGATCTTTTAATGCCTCTGTTAAAAGTGATTTTATCATCATCATTACATTAGTGCAGCATTTTCTAGCTACTTACACACAGTATGAAATATACAAGTGGTTGGTAGATTTGCTTCAATCACCAGCCAAAAAAAAAAAACAATGGTCATATATTGAGGTGGCTGGTACAATTTGAATATTCACCAACCAAAAAAGTGAATTTTACACCCTGATAACACACACAGCTGCAAAGTTATCCACCCAGGTAAAACTAACGCAGTCTAATGCAATGCAATAAATCCTGCCCTCAGTAAGGTTATTAACTATGTCTTAAAATTGCTTTAGAGAAGTGTTGATTTGACTTTTAGATCACTGCAGTGCTGCTGAATTGCATTGTGTTACACTGACCGGCCTTTTTATTACTTTGTCAAACCTATCTCTATAAATAGGGAAGGCTAAAAAGAAAACACCTCTCTGTATTATGCAATACAGTTCAACAGCAGGACAAATGACATCCTCCAAAATGATCATAGAGTTGAATGAACTCTTCTCTCAAAACAGATCCTTCATGAAGATATGGTGGGACGTTTGTATGAGATTACATCAGTTGGTGTTGGGTCTGTTTGTAAAACTTAAACTGAAATGTATTTAGATTTCCTCTGATTTAAATATATTGCATGCACATTCTGCTGAACATCCTGCTCAATGTGCATTCAGTGCAGAGGACGTCAAACCTAGGAGATATTAATAATAACATAGAGATATTATAGAGCCTTTTGCAAAAATACAGCAACAACGGCTGACTTTTGATAGTTTCAGAACAGGTCACAAGAAAATGTGTATAGTGGAATGGGACCACCGGAGCATGTACTGGGGTCTGGCTTCAGTTACAACCCTGCTCTCTTCTCCAACTACAGGTCAGCCGGGCTACACACCAAGACTAAAAATAACCTTTGGCAAGAATCTCAGCCCTGACATTTAGATCCTGAGAAATGTTCTGTCTGGTCATGACCCAGTGAACTGGATCCTGACTGCGTCTCTCCATATAATCTGTCCTCATTGCTTAAGTAGGTAAGTTAAGTGCAGCCCGTCAGGTGGAGGTGAAGGTGGAGGGGGGATCTCCTATTAGTGAGTCTGCTTCTGGAGAGAGATGCAGAAGTTCAGGTGATGTCTGCTCAGGTAGAAATCTATGCAGCTGCAACCGTGTTGTGTAGCAGTAAGCTGGGCAAACTCAGACTGTGTATGAGTCAGACAGACCACAGAGGGCCCGTCCCAGCTCTGAGCTCTGCAAGAAAGTTGCCATATTTGTTGACATTAAGACCCTCTCTCTCTCTTTCTCTCTCTCTTTCTCTCTCTCCAGCTAGCAGCAGAGGAAGTCTGCACAACCGTGAGCGAATAGCGAGAACCTGAGATCAGTCTCAGAGCTGAAGGAGGCTCCCAAACAGCAATGTAACAGATATTAACATTAGCTCTGCGATGGATACGACGTGCGTCAGTTAACCAGGCAGCCCAAAAACATCCATGCTAATAGAGGCTAGTGGTGTCTAGGTTACACCCAGCAACAACCGTCCAACTGGGTAACGTTAGCTCACGTTAAACACCGCGGCAACGGCTGGAAACACACCTAACAGTCGACAAATGAGCAGAGAAAGTCAGACTAACCTTAACCGAAGGATGTGAAGAAGTTGTGGAAGTTCATGGCTGAACACCGTCCCCTCCGGTCTGTCTCATCCTGGAGCGCCGCACCGCGACCTGGACGCTGATTGGCTGAGCTCGGACAGCCGCGATGACGTCAGGTCACGCCCATACGTAAGAAAAGGGGCCTTTTAAAAATCAGAGCTGCGGCTTTTATTGACCCCACAAACAGAGTATATGAAGAGGAGGAGGCCAGTGTTGATATGATAGGAATACTGTGACAACCTCTCTCTGTAATCTGCAGCAATTGAGGGATTGTTACGGCATAAAATAACCAGATATATATGCATAAATCATTTAAAAACCAATGCTGCCATCAAACAGTCTTGCTCAGTGTTTTGCAGCATCGTCCACAATATCGTAATATACCTAAAAATGATAAAATGTTATATTGGTGTCTGAGGGCTGACACATTTATATAGTCTCACAGTGTATGCCATCACTCACTTCTAATTTCTTTACATAAAGATTTTCTTTATGTCATCTTAGGAGATTCCATTATCGGAAATACATTTGGCGGAGAAATTGTGTTTTATTACAAATACTTTAAAAAAATAAAACACAAAACAATACTGTCAAAACACATATCAAAATATTTTAATCAATAAAAACGAAATCTTTACAAAAATTAGCATATTTACATCATGGAACAGCAGTGAAAATAGAAAAGAAAAGTACAAAAAAAAAGAGCTGCACAAGCTGTGAACAGTAAACATGAAGAAGATGTGAAATGCAACTAAACAACACTGACACTACCAATTACTATCATTTCAAATCAGAAATCTATCGTCCACCAGAGTCTTGTTGACGAGGTTCCTCCTTCCGAGAGCGTTACGTATCAAGCGAAATATCTGTAATAAATGAGATGGTTTTCAATATGTTTTATTTTAGAACAGTGAAGTTAACATACTATATACACACTATATACTGACCATTTGCTGTACATATGTAAGCACAGCTGCCAGCACAAAGCTCTGAGATCCGAGGTCGACAACACAGAAGAACAAAGTGTCAAAGATCAGCAGCGTGGCCTCGTTTCCATAAAACAGCACATCACTGAAGGAGTGGGCCTCATCTGCAGCGAGAAATGCAAGCAGACATCATTATATTTACATATATGTATGTAAACAAACAGTAATTTACAACCTTCCAAAAGGTCATTACCGTTGTAAAAGATGCTTTTTTCATTGGGTTCAAGGAACTCCATCCCTATGACCCTCTCAAACATCAGCTTGTCCTTCACTATATAGTCCATGTCAGAGTGGGCCTGAAGTAAACAACGCAACATTAGAGACAGAACCAGCTCATCTGTATGAAATATGAAAACAACTCATATACTTTAGAATCTAACAAATGAATTGATATACAATCAGGTCAAATCAAATTCAGCTTGGTGTGAGTTCATCTGAGCATTTGTACTAACATGGTCTATAATGGATCCCAGGAAGTGGTTCATGGTGTGGTAGGCTCTGGCGTTCTGCTCAAACTGGTTAGCCGAAGATGCATCAATCAGCCGTGATGGCCTGTTCCTCTGGAGCAGAGGAGACAAGCAATTAGGAATGTTTTTTTTCTCTTGGTTTGTTAGTTTATAGCTCAATTACAACACAACAGAGAGAGCACACACCCTGTTGAGCGGCTCTCGTATCCTCTCATACTGCGACCGCAGACGGTTGGTTAGAGACACCTGAAAGGTCTGGATCTCTGTGTTGGGAAGTAGACCTCTCTGACCACACAGGGACTCCTTGAGACAGAGTAAGACAGAGAGGAAGTCAGAAAGAGGATGGATATGATGTGAAATCAATAGTTTCATAAATATCTACAACTACTAAGACAACATGAAGTCTGTCAGTGTACATACACTCTCTCTTTTCAGATTGTTGTTCATTTCCTCCATGTTTGTATCTGCATGCCCATGTACTGAACGCCCATGAATGTAGTAGCCAAAACAACGGTGAGATAACAGCAGCACAGAAAATCTAGTAGAACACAGACAAGAGCTAAAATCTCAGTACCAACGCATTCACATACGGATAAATTCGTTCTTCTTAGAATATGATCATCCCCCCAATTCTTAACTTACACCGTTCACTGGATGCGCAGCCAAGAGATGCCGTACACAAACACCTCGACGGATCCCTTGATCCCTCCCGCAAGCGGGCTCAGCCCCGGAAACGGACCCACACGCGTGAAGAAAATCACCTGTAATGATAAATTATCTTTTAAAAGGAGCTCTCCACACTTGTACTGTATATTTACTTGATTTCTGAAGATAGACGGGGAGAGGTGAGAGATCAAAGGGAACGGTGGCAGTTTTACCTGCAGAACTCCGATGCAAAGCCACAGCGTGGCTGCAAGACCGTAGCGCAGCATCAGGCTGTATGAAGGGGTGTACGCCTGTGTGGAGCGCTCTAACGTTGGCCAGGGATCCCTCAGGGCCAGGTTAGAGAATCCTAGCACCTGGATAAAGCAGGGTGACATGTCAGAAATGACGAAAAAGGGACGTGACAAAGATTGCAAAAAAGAACAGAGTGTAAGAGTTGATGTGACATGTGAGATGTACTTCAAGAAAGAAGAGCACAGCCATGATCTGAAAAGTTGGGCTGATCTTGCGGATGGTCTGGATCTCGTTCCATTCATTGGCCACAAAGTAGGTCCTCCAGATGCTGACTGGAGAGGGGTCACGTTTCGCCTCACCAGTAGCTGAAACAGCAGGGAATACGGTGAAGGGAATAAAACAGCTGCTGGATAATTACTTCTTATGAATACTGCGAGTAAATATGTTTGTACCTTGCACAGGCCTGCTGGCTTTGGTTCGTGGCCTCTCCCAGTCAATAAAGAATATATCAACTGACACCTGAAGGATCAGCTTGTGGAGAAACTGGATAGCCTGGATACAAATACAGCAAAACCAAACGTTTTTAAATATTCCTAATAGAAGCACAAAATCTATCTTTTAAAAACAATACTGCTAATTTTACATCTTTCCAGTAGGTGTCTAACCTTGAGAGCGAAGGCACAACCAATGTATGTCACAAACTGCTCCTCCTGAGCAGGTAGTGGTAACAGCACTGATACAAACTGTTGGGCCTAAACAGACACAAACACAAATTAATCCCAGAAACCAGCAAATATTAATCACACCTAAATCTGTGCATTCAAAAGAAATGTTCAGGCAAACAAGGTAAAGGAGGAAAAAGACTTGCCTTTAACGTCTAAAGAGTGCAGAGAGGAAAAGAAAAGTCCATGCAAAGACAAAAGAAAAACTGTGTGTTTTAAAAAGAAATACAGTTAAAGTGTCTCAAATGAAAAAGCTGCAGAGAGAAGATACTGGTACAAACATTAAAGACCACTCAGGTATCACAATCATCCTCTATGAGCCTATAAAAGAAAGGCCCAAAGGAATTAGACTAACCTTGTAAAAGATGAGCCAGTAAAGTCCAGTTCCCACAGTGACGGCGAAGAAAACATTGGCCAGATCTCCAGCATAAAACAACAAAAACTTCAGCATAGTCTGAGGCGGAAGGAGGGAGAGACTAACATTACTTCAAATTCAAACCAACATACTGTATGTATTTAAGAGGCTCAAATATTGACATGTTCCAGGCGCAGTACCTCCACATCAATGAGCGGAGAGGCGATCCTCCTCTTCCAGCTGACTGTCTTCAGCAGAGAGTAGAGCACGGCCACACCACCCATCACACCTAGAGCAGTCTGTGCACATACAAAAATATCAGAGCCACAGATGATACTGTGTCACTGCGTGCACATAAACACTGAAAATCACCATCATACATAAGAAATTCCCCGTTTTCTGTCACGTTCATCCATACTCACATCTGTCTTAGCGCGAGCCTCGTTCTGATCCATCTCATACTCCACAGAAAACGTTATCTATAAAGAGATACATTTGTTCAATACATAAGCAGACCAATAGCTTGTTTTTGAGATGAATAAAGAGACAGAAATGTTTTTATTCCAACAGAAAGCCCGCTGAGAAAACAATCTTACTGCAACTTCATTTTTGAGATTGAGACCATCAGCTAGTTGTGTGTGTGTGTGTATTGCTATCTCTGTGAGGCTCAATTTCAGTTTTATACCATTGTAGTGACAACTGACTACTCCAAAGGACTGTTTGAAGGTTAGGTTTTAAGTTTAGGTTAGGATTGGGGTTAGGGTTGTGGTAAGGCATTCAGTTGTGATGGTTGAGGGCTAGAGAATATGTCTGTATTTCAGTGAGAGTCCTAGATGTACAAACACCTCTGTGTGTGCGTGCGTGTGTACTTACAGACACAGTTTGTGTATCGATGGGAACATCTCCGTAGGTCACAGTCATTAGAGGGGGGAACACCTGTCCTTCCTGGGTTCGTGGAACCAGCTGAAACCTACCAAACACACACACTGACACTGTTAATGTCTCACAAAGCAGTTACAAACAGAAGCCTTCACTTTTTTGTCATGGTGATGCACACATTGTGATGGAGCTGTTATGGGAATTGTTTTGAAAATGCTCATGTGCTTGTAGCTGCCAAAACATAAAGTATATGCATGATGGAGTATAACCTAAGAATGTGATGACATTATTTAAGGATAAAAGCTGCTCCGAGAAGCTTCTCTCTGTGTGTCTGTGTAAAATGATCCAATTTATATATCAACTGCACGACAACTGTTGTCAGGTGAAGACTGCAAGCACATAATTTGTGTTCTGACCTTAATGATAAACATGCACCTGCTTGTAAAAAACAGTGATATTCGAGTATATGCTGCAGTGCAACCAATTTCTCTCCAATCTCATGTGCATCTTTCCGTAAATGGAGGCTTTTGTTTGCAACTATTGTTTCTGTTTGCCACGACAGAGCCCACCTTATTTTGACACTGCTGGCTACACGGATGACTTTAGGCGGGGAAGTCATGCTCTTCTCTCTTCCACTCAGCGTGTCAACAAGAAACATACGTCGAGACAGGTACCAGTTCTTCATGCTCTCTGGAAATAGATCAAATATATCAAAGCAATGCGCACACACAAATGTATGCAGACACACAAAAAAATTGAATCCCACCTTGGTTGATGAAGCGTCCATTATATTGCTGGTTATAGACTAGTGTAGGCAGAGGGAGTAGTTTAGTGTTCTCTCCTCCACCAAGATCCATAAACACATCATAGAACAACGGCTCTGGATGGGTATCCAACAGCTTCGCTACTGAGAGATCACACTACACACACACAGCTTATATTACAACTGGGATTGCAGGAGAGATTGTGCACCGTCTCTGAGCTAAATGAAAGAAGAAACACTCACACTTTGTTGGTAAGCGGTTCCAAAGCTGAAGGCTGCAGCCTGTTTGGTGGTTGTATCTGGACAAAGCTAAAAGAGAAGGAGAGAAGAAGGGACATGGTGTGGAGTAATTAACAGCCTCCTATATGTTTACGGTGGGAAATAATGATTGGGATTTGGCCCGACCAAGTTGTTTGGCATCTTACCTGGAGATTACTTCCTCCTACGGGTTCCCATCTGAGGAACTCTCCTCTGACGTTGTAAACAGCAGCAATCAGCTTAATGTCAGTGTTCTGCCAGATAAACAGAATATGTCAATTAAAAGAACATGTTATTAACCTAGTAAGTTTATTGCTCAATTTGTTTTTATAGTGCTATTATTTCTAGTTCTTCCGTTGCTATGTTCCTTATCGTGATAACTTGAAGACTTACCTTGTTTCTTCCTCTGAAACTGAACCCAATAGGAACAGGATCGGTCTGAAGCACTCGACTGGCCAGTCCTGGTTCGTCACCATAGTAAAGCCATGGCAGATTATTTCTCCTGGAGAAAGAGTGACCAAAGTGCTTACTATGCATTCTGGGTGAAAAAAACCCTGCAAAGACTGCACAGTATATACACATATGCCATGATAGTGCTGATTACCAGTAAGAAATGTCTTGAGTTGAGCTCATAGCAGCTCTGGATCTAAAGATGGTGTTAAAGAGACCACAGGCATCTGTGGACAAGCCGCTGAAGGAGTGCATGTTCATGACACACATGTTCCCAAGAGACTGACATGCCGTCAGGTTGGAGAAGACCTGTAACCACACAACTTGTTCAAGCAGCTGAAACACACACATAATGTTTAAAGCAAAATGTTTGGTTATGAACACCACAACTTGCTCCCTATGATGTCAGATAAAGAAAATTGGAATTACGAGGCAGGCTGCTGACGAGGAGTACAAGTTGTTGACGAACCAGGCGGACTGGATGCTGACCTTCTGCAAAAGGAACAGAACAGACAAAACAACTCAGAATACACCAAAATAAAGTGAGCAAGTGAAAGAAGAGAAGGAGACTCACCAACTGAGCATAGTTGACACTGGGATTCACATTGGTGGAGAGGCTGCCTGGAGGGATACATAATCCTCCTGCCTGGAATCACATACCAACCATTGATGATACATATATCCTATAAGTTACTGAATGGTGTGTGTATGATGGGTTAGGAAGAGGGTCAGAGCTCACCAGGACATTAGGAGGGTTACAGTCACAGGAGGTGTTAATGAAGGTGGCCTGACATCTCTCACACCTGAAAGACAATTATTAAAACGGTTTCATCCCTTTTATACTGTACAAAGTAAACCTGGAATCAAGTCAAACTGTATTCAAACTCAGTCAGCACAAAACCAGTGGTAAGAGAAAGTAAGCAGGCATAAGCCATTTGTAAGAACAAACTAAATCAAATCTGTCCTTGCAATATTGGGAGCCACAAACTAGTGCTTATGAGAGGCACAGAGGGTTGAAGACAGGGAAGACACACTGGGGACATGAGATGTGGAACAACCATAAGTCAAGCTGAAAATGATGAGAGGTGCCAGAGAGATAGAAACATAACAAGAGACACATTTAAATGAGGTTCTTTTGACAAACTTTTGACCTTCAATCCATAAATCAATGGAGGATCTGCACTGATTTAACTTCCTCATTGAACTGTGGGTTTGTGCCGGGGTCCTTATCTATTAGATAACGTGGACACTTCATGGAGAAGACATGGATTCTTCTTAAAGATTCTTTAACACAATTACTATTTGTTTAGCTTTAGAATGTTCACATTAGTATAAAATCACAATACTCCCTTCAAAATGTTTATTTTTGTGTCTGCTATGCGGCAGATCAAATAACCAAGTAAAAGACTGCAGTCACTTAGTATTGACTTTCGTAGAGCTGAGGGAAGAATGGTCAACATTGGAGCAGTAAAGACTGAGATATCCTGAGTTTAAGCTCCAAAACCAGTGGATCTACAATTTACATTGCATAAAACATTTAGTGTTAGAACCTTCCTGCCTGGTTAATGTGTGAACCTGCATGAAACAGCTGGATATGTCAGTGTTTCCACTGTATGGGATAAATACGTACCTGTCTCCATTGCTGTTTGGTACAGCCAAAGCAGGGGCATTTCGATTACACGTTTCACACCTGGCCTCATCCAGAAGGTTTCCATTGACATCTCTCTCCACTGGAAAACATAACCCATATTCAGCCACTTATACATAAAACACACAATTAACTGTTGCCTCACTGTGTTAAATTTGCAGCAAGCATGATTGCATATCTGCAATAAAAATGAATGTTCTGCCTCGTATTCACTTTCGAAGTGTAACGATACCATCCATCAGTGGACTAATACACATATACATACATATATGTGAATATATATATATATATATATATATATATACACATATACGGTATAAAGGAGAAACACTGCATGCTATATTATGGGCCTTTTATTGGCAACACAATTAGAAATGTCAGAGTTGTAGAGAAGCGTTGGGGTGGGGAACCTAAAATGGCACTATAACACCCCCTTGTGGCATAACATGAATATATTAAATGCAAATAGGGTACTGAAATTAAATTCAATTTAAAAAGGTATCAATAAGATTGGTGATTTATTCAATGACAAAGGTATGTCAAGTTTTCAGGCATTGTGACACCTCTTTGACCTGTCTGGCTCATATTTGTCTCCAAGCTTCCCATTCACCCTTTAATGAACTGGATAAACTCTCTCCCCACCAGAGGGATTTATATCAGCAACATACTCCAAACTATGTGGATAAGAGAAGAACCTGTCTGTGCTAAGTCAGAACATGGAAGAGAGACTTGATGAAGACATATTTTGGGATATGATTCTAAGACTCCAAACCACCAACTTATTAATTTTAAGTTGTTTTTAAGGGATGTTGCCATTGAGGGGGATGGTGGAGGGAGGGATTTATATGTATGCAAAACCTTTCAATTATTTCTACCTGTCACTTCTTGCCTCCCATAAATTAGTCGTGTCACTGGTCACTCACCCAGGACACTGCCTTGTGGGCACTTGCAGTTCCCCTCCTCGGTGAGACCGCCCGGACAGCGAATACACTCAAACCCGCCTTTAGTTACTGCCTGTAAAGAAAGACAACGTGTCAAGAAAGCATTATCACAAATGGTATTATAAACTGTTTGTGTATTATTTGCAGTTTAATGTGACATGAACAGCAATAAAAGACATTAAAGGTAAATTGCACATACAGGCTTGTCAGTGGGACACAGCTGACAAGTAATGGACCCCTTATCAGTGGTGAGAGTTTGATACCCGGTTTTGCAAATGCAGCTCAGTCCTGCAGAGAGAGAGAGAGAGAGACCAATACAAACAGTACATACAGTTAGTGGGAACAGAGCATGTTCAGTGTTGAGTTCTGAGGTATCAGCTCACAAAGGCCAGTGGTTGAAAAAACTAAAATAAATTAACACCTAAAAACACCACCTGCCCCTCGCTTTAATTTATATAGCACCTTCCTTAACAAGATTACAAAGTGCTTTACAGAAAAAAAACAGCAGATTAAAAACAAAAATACAATAGGGCGAGTATCAATTAATTCATAAGTCAATCGACAGAATTTTTTTTTATACTTTGAGGATCAGTTCACAGCAAAATGCCAAACATCTCACCCAGTCCCAGCTTCATATTAATTATTTATGAGAACTTTCTGCTTTTCTTTGGCTTACGTGATGGTAAACTGAATATATTTTGGTTTTGCACTGTCAATGACACTGCTTTAGAAAATTGAGATGGACATTTTTCACTATTTTCTGACATTTCAAAGGCCGAACTAAAACGTATGGATAATGAAAATAATCAGCTGTTTTTCTTTTAAACAAATGAAGAAATTGGGTTGATTAATGCATAAAGGTGGAATACAGTTTAGCACTTTCTTTGACTCTTGATTCTGTACATTTTAGCCGTATCATGAGACATATTGACACGGGGAAATATTATTAACATTAAAATACATTCTGGATATAGATTTCAGCCACATTGCCCAGATCTTCAGTCGTCTATGGTTGCAGGCATTGACTTCACCCCATATTAATCCAAACAGCACACTGTGAATCATGTTTCAGGGGAGGATTGCCCCTTTAATGGTCCTCTAACCCAGAGGTTGTCTCACCTACGACCCACATCTTCTCATGGTCAAAATCACTTTTTAAACCAAGCAAATGTATTTTTAAAACAGGCTGGAAGACACATATAAAATGCCATTATGACCTTTTTTAACAGACATTTGTGTCAGACATCAGATAGCTAACCAACTAATTAAAATGTTGTTGTTCCCCCCTACACACACACACATGCTCTGATCTTAGCTTTGTAAATATCGTCGTCCTTTGCACCTCGCCAGCTCGCTGTTACCTTACCCATTGTGGTTTCTTTGGGTCGTGCGCGGCGGGAACAGCTCAAAGTTAAAGTTAATTTGCTCTTTAAAGACTAATGCCACTTTGCAGCCTCAGTAAATCAGTTCTCGGGATGTTGTGTGTGTGCGTTAACCGACCTGTTGTGCTCCGTTGCTGGTTTAGACCGCACCTCGCACACGAGAGACTCGAGATATCGAAGAATTCCTCCACACTACAGTCTGTCGGAGCCTTATAGGGCACGATAAACTGCTGGCAGTTCAGTAAACCACTGTATATTACAAGGAATAATGTCAGAGGCACTTTGTGTCCGTTAACAATGAACGGTAGCGTCCCCGTCGCCATGGTAAACAACGGTCTTCCTTTTACCCACAATCCCATTCCTCTTGCGTGATGACGTTGACACCAGATTTATGTGTGCGTCGCAAAAGAAAGAGAAGAAATGACATGGTTGGTTAAATGCTAAATGTCGGCCAATTTAATTGTAATTTCAGAAACTTTTTAGTATAATAGAGTAATATGATTTACAAAAAAAAAAGCCCTATCCCTTAAATTTAATTCATTAAATTCCGTTTTTCAGTCTCATGTCTGTTTTGTTTGTCTTTTATGCGTCTGATCTTGTTTGTATTTTCTATCAGGTTTGTTTAAGCCATGGTGTTTGTACATGTATATTTGTGTGATAAAAAAA